TTTTTTCGTTTTCACTAACCTCTCTGTCACATTCTTCATGTCTTTATCCATTTTTTGCAGCAATTCAACTTTTTGTTTGATGGACATCGATCATTGGGGCTAATGGGAGGGATTTTGTGAAAACGATGGATAAAAATGGCCCGGCATTTCAGTATCTTCTAGGGAAATAGATAGGCTAAGTGGAGGAAAAATAAAGGAAGGCATTTTTGTTGGCTACAAATCGGAAATCTCTTCAAGTACGAATGTTTTGAAAATATCTTAATAGGTAACGAGAAGAATGCTTGGATGAATTTTCAGCAAGTAAGTACTAACTTTATAAGAAATAAGAGGTCTGAAAACTGCATTGCACTTGTGGAGGAGCTGTTGTTATCCTATAAGAGACTGGGTAACATGTTTACTTTCGTTTACTATACTTTCGTACTACTATACTTTCGTTTTGTACGATCCTTTGGGAGCTCCAGAATCAAAAATTCTATTTGACATAATCGAAAGTTCAAGTTTACTTTTATAGTATTGCTCTAACAGTCTGCAAAAAATAATAAGCCGGATCCAATTCGAAAATTAAGGAACAACGCAATCATCAACATTAACTGAAATAGATAATTAGATAATTTTAGCTTACACCGTCCGTTATACATAAAACGCGTCGCGCACCGATTATACGTATAAAACGCGCACGCGCACACGAAAACGTATTCTGCGCTTGCGCACACGCAACATGTCGTAAAACGTCTTACGCGCGCACGCGCGTAAATGGTGCGCTAAAGGTGTCAACGCGGCGCATGCGCAGAAAGTTTTTAGCTTTGAGGGTCCGGATTATAGATCATTCCGAATTATGGGTGTCCGAATTAACGACTTTTGACTGTACTTCATTTACTTAATTTACAATTCTGTACTGTGTACTTGCAATACGGTATATTAGAAAATTTTGCGTACCATATTTATATCATGCACTTACATGTATTTTGCATAAAAAGTTGCTTATATGAAGACTGAATTTATATAAATATATTTTTGTATTCAATTATGGAATATTTAAATAAGTGGTTCTATGTTCAATGTCAGAAATTTTGTTTTTGTGTAGATAACATGGTTTGGGTGATAACTAAATGATAAATCTTCCAATTTAAAATGTAATTTGTATTTCAGACTTAGCTCCATAGTGATTGTCTTGATTTTATATGAGGCTGGCACCAAGATACCGAAATTTTTATTATGCACATAATTAATTTTTCCTCCTCCCCTCGAAAAGGGGTGAATATCTGATGAGGTCACATTAAATTTATGTCCTTGGAATTATTACAGTCCTCTAAAAACAGATAAGGGATTTTATCTGGCGACAATATTTTACTGGTGAATACTGCATCTGGCTAATACTCCACATTTTACTTACAATTATATGTTAATTAAAGATCTTAAAGGCACATTATATAAATGTCTATTGTTTTCAGCATGCTGATATGAATCTTGAAAAATTGAAAATATTTCCTTCCCAATAGTTCAATATAGAGTACATTGCAATTAAATGGGTTTTTTTATATAGTTTTCGATATGAATTCAAATTATTATAAATTTATATAGACATGTACACATTCAGTAGCAGTACTTTCTAAGCCACAAACAAAAAGAAAAGGTTTGGTTTGCTCTATGTAATTACACCAAACAATTTGCAGGCTATCTGCCTAAGGGTAAGGATACCTTCATTTCTAAGGGAAACTGGCTTGTATATATATTTTACCTGGAAAAACCAGGAAAATGCCCATACAGCTAGCCTGTTTGCCGGGATTCGAATCCAGGACCAAACTGGCAGTGTTTGGTGACTTTTGCTGCTCAACTGCTGGTGGGAAAGAACAAGGTGCTTGTAAATTGAACACAAATTTAACGAATCAGTCTAGCCTCCTGTAGCTCTGTAACAATATAAAACAATGCTGTTAAGATTGTTTCAGGATTATTTATATAATTACTGTTGCATTTTTATTAAATTTTTGTTATTTAATTGAACTTGTTTGTTTGTTTGTTTCACTTTCACTTGTTTCTTTAATCTTTGAAAAAGAGATGTTAAATTGAGAATAAAAAAGTAAATATTTAATGCAAGAGAAAACATACTCTAGTTTTACATAGGTAATGATGTATTTTAAATACCGCAGCAAACACACATTAGGTATTCTGATATTAAACTGGTAGTTTTGCAACAAATGTAATTAGACTCTATTAGTAAATAATCAGTTCAATAAATAAAAATAAAAAATAGGGGATCTTTTCTAGTAAAAGATAACATATGCATAAAATTTTTTTTAAAAAAAGCTATATGTACCGATTTGAAACTTAACAGCGAGAAAATATCATCTCATTATAACTGTGATAAAATTTTTCTAAACATAAGAAATTCATCTTTTAGGCTATTGAATAGGGTAGAATTTTTCTCCTTTGGAGGAAAAGAGCACATGTGCTTTTAGAATAAAAAAAATCTGCATTATATTTTTAGTTACAATACTGCATTTATTGGTTAGAAGTTAGTTCAAGCAGGACAAAATTAAAGATAGATTGAATAAGTTTCAATATTTTTTACTCTATATTTAATTATAAATAATATACTGTTCAGCATAACCAAGTGTTCAGAATACTTAATTCAAATCCGAATTCTATTTTAAAATCTTTTGAAATCAATTTGAAACATCTCAAATAACAGAGATATGGAAATTTTTAACAGAAAACTATAAAAATATCAAAATCAAAACTAACATCTGATTCATAAAAAAGAATAACTCGTTATGATATGGTAGTACAGAAAATTTACTGACTGAAGCAAAAAATTCTATAAGCTTCATTAAAATTTCGCCACGGTTTATATCAAGCTGACACTCGAGAATAAAATACGATCTGTGTGTGTGTGTATCTAAGCATTTTACAAAATGAGAGACGCGAAGAACCTATTCTAATTTAATTTAACATATACACAGCAAGTATTATTACTAGTAATATGATTATTTTTCTAAGGGGAAGGGACGGAAAAATATCTTCAAATTAACCATTCTTAAAAAGTACTACAAGCCTTGCAGCATGAAAGCTGTAAATTAATTTTATAATTTGAGGAATAAAATACAATCATTAGTGAGCAGAATATTATAACGTTGATAATAACGCAATCTATCACATTAAAAACATAAAAATTTTTTCATCCGCTAGTAATCTTAGCCGTCTAGCTACTCCATAAATGTTTACATTTGGAACTACTAACATGGAACAACAGCGCCATCTAGTGAATGCGACATTTTAGGACCGTTTTTCTACTAGGCAGTTTCACCTCCTTCATTATACTCAATCTATCCCCCCCTCCGCTCCTTCAAGTTACGCTCGACTGTCCGAATATTCGCCAATTTCCAAGTATGCGGGTTAGTTAAGCTTTTACTGTTAAAGATGACTGCATGACGCAAATTTCTGTCTTCTGATTTTAGAAATGTTCCTCTTTTTTACTTAAAATTACTTTGCTGGCAATATCTGTTAAGAGAAAACTTGTATACAATGAAAATTTAGAAAATGTTCAGAATTTAGATTTAAATTATTTAAATATCAATATGAGTGGAAAAATAAATTTTATTTATTATTACGTTCCAAGCGAATACAATAAATATGCCTTATTATTATTTATTTTCTATATTTTGAACTGAAATTTCATCATTAAATCTTGTAATGTAGTTTAGTTCTTCATATTTTTTTCCCTCTCATTGTAAACTAGTTCTGTAAATTGAACTATTATTTAAAATTAAAAAAAAAAAAAAGTAATTATTTTCCATGGTTGAGGTAATGCTTATTCTCTCTTAATAAGTACTTCATTTCTCATATTTTAAATTACAAGTCTAATTTTTAGGGTTATGCAGTTGTGTATGATGTAATTAGTCAGATGCTTATTTTTTTTCTTAAAATGTGCTTCAAAAGTGCTTATGGGTGCTTATTTTTTTAACTAAAATGTGGCTATGAACCCTGCTCATGGGTTTGAAAAGTCATTTGTTTAAGTTAAACATTACTTAGAACAGTAAAACCTGAGCTGTAAAGTTTGAAGTCTCGATAATGTTCTAAGCCTTTATGCTGAAGTGCAACATCACATCCAAATGTAGAGGTTTTATTCTCCCAACCTAGCTTCTTTGCTTCAACCAAATGATTAAGGGATTATAAAAACATTCAAAGCCTATTAGGTATGTTTACGTCTCTACACATAAAGCACTAAATGAAGAAAACTGCATTATAAAAATGATTAAACTCACCTCGCAAAGTATTGCCAACAAATTTAAGAGATTCCCATGAATTGACAGTAAACTCGGAGGAATTGTATATATTCTGAAAGCAGTTAACAGCAAAGGACTTTTCAGATATGGAGGAAGGAGAAGTGAAAGAATCGAGAAATTATAAGTGAAGCGTTGAATGACAATGAATATAGTAATAGTAAAGAAGATTAAGTGCCTTTAAATTAAAAAAAAAAAAAATTAAAGAAGTGCTTAAAAAGGCACACATATTGTCTGATTTTTGATGGAATTTGAGGTAAATGAAGAAAAAAAGAGAGCAGTGTATAAGAGGCACTGGAAAACTCTATGTTTATTACTCTGGAATGGGTCAGTCATCATCCCAAGCAAGTCACACAGTTGTCATGTACCAACTTTTTAAGCAGTCATAAAAATTCTTTCAATTAAAATTTGTTTGATTTTCAATTTTTAATTATATCAGCATTTAAGTTTACTAATGTTATATGTACTTTTTTGTCTAAATTATGCTTAACACATGTTTTCCTTAGAAGGTTTACTTTTCAGAATGCGCTGCACACGTTCGCATTCTGAAAGGATGTAAATGTAATGATGTAAACTCTCTGTTCGGGAAGGATTTACTGTATCATAATTTTTGAAAAGTTGAATATCTGTGTCATCTTTGAAAAGTTGAATATTTAAAGTAATTTCCTTTTTCTGTGTATAAAGTAGAAATTTATCAAAAATATTTTCTTCCTTTTTTAGGTAGCAACATGATTAGTGATCATAAAGATAATTCTTTTAGACTAGAAACCCTGGATGATACTGGCACAGAACCTGTAATGGAGTCTACACCATTGGTAAATGAAATTAAGAATATTATTGCACTTCTGAAGATATAAATATGTTAGCTGAAGAAATGTGTTGGAAATTTACTTAATGCTTTGGGCTACTGCTTTTCTGAATTCACTTGGGCAGCTTATAATATTCTTAATTGGGAAATGGCTTACACTGTGCAAAAGGGAGAACACATTGCAATCATATTTATTTGTTAGAAATTTCATAAAAAGATTGCTAATTTTTGTTTGCTTATTCCTGCACATTGATAAATGTGTGATTTTTAAATATTTAATGCTTACAAGCATCATAAAATTATCAGAAAGACCAGTCTATTCAAGGAGGTTAGAATAGATGGAGTATGCCATCTATTCTAACCTCCATTAAGTAACTAATTCATTTCATTGCGCGGGACATCCCTGTATGTCTCGTGCAATGAAAATAAAGCCATGATACATCACGATGTGTGACATCACGACTGATAATGGCAGCTTTCATGGGTGAGTCCTTGTACATGTTGATGCGACGCTTTAGGGTTGCAATTTTGGTTGGGGGCCAATCTTTAGCGGTTTTCGTTAAAACTTTAATTATTTAACATTTTAGAGAATCCTAAGTTTAGATTTTTCACACTTATGTAAAGATGTGTGGCTTCTTTCTTGTATTTTTTTAAAATGCTGAATTTCTCATATGATTCAAGATAAGTTTTGAAAACATTTTCACATATCATATTTCAGATTTGTATATTAGTTAAAAAGACTTTCTTTTTGACTTACTTCTGAATTTTCAGTTTTAACTTTTAAATACATACATAATGTTAGACAACTCAAAATGTAATTTCTGACAAGAGATTCTCGCTACTGTTCTTAATTTTGCATGAGGTTGTAATGGGTTTGAAATCGCACTTTCATATTTATTTAACTATTTTTCTTTTATAATTCAAGGTAGTTTTGTGTATTTTATTAAAATTATAAGCCTGTCATTACAGTACTTGTATGACAATTCTTAATTTCTTAGGTATGCTATTGCAGTACTGATGGAGTTAAACATATTACTTTTATTTACATTACATGTTAAATTATTTGGAGGACATTAAAGCTGTGGCTACAAATGGGTATGGGACAAAACTTCAGTAATTTTTAAGTTTCTAAAGCTTTCCTAAATTAACAGTTACTTTTCTAAAATTGTAAATAAATTTTATATGATAAGTACATAAATACATTCTGATGCTTTAATATATCTAGCCGGTTCACATTTTAAACTTCTGAAAAAATTTATTAGCTTGTCTGCATATAATTCTTGGTTTTCATTTTTAATCTACTTCTTGTTTATTACTTTTAATATGCAGTTTGAAGTTTGCTCACATGGAATCGAATGTCTATTATTGCAACAATTTGGTTAAAAATGTTATTTTGTGTGCATATCCAGAAAAAGGCAACTAAAAAGCTTTATGATTTTAAATACTGATTTCAGATATACACCTTTAAATTTTAATGTTTTTGAAGAATGCTATAAAAACTATTTCAATGCTCTAATTGCCGTGGGAATCTATATTAAAATCAATCCTTATATAGATTTAGCAGTGTAAAAATTCCATATGAAAAATACTTTTTTTGTTTTAAAAAATGAATAAATACTCACATAAATAAATAATAAAAAGAATACCTTTCCACACAAAATTTACAGACACCATTTACCAATACATTTGCTATTGAGAGTTACTTTTTATAATACATAGAGAAACTGATAAATTTATATGAATTAAATGAGGGAAAAAACCTACATAGGCTGTTAATATCTTGCATATCTGATTATTTAATGATAATTTAGTTCTCTTCTGTTATCAGGATGGGAATAAAAAAATGTATTGAGTATATGTGTGTATGCATACATATGCACATACATACATACATACATGCATTCATATACACATATATCCATTTCTGAATCCGGTCCCAATAAGAGAAGAGTACTGATAATTCCATAACATACATAAAATTCAATCTATAGCACTGCAAGAACAATCTAAAATCACAGTTCTTATTAATGAATTTGCATAAATAAAAATGTAAAAATATTGCAGATCTACGTCTTCTGGTAACAAACATATGCAAAACACGTACGTATAGTGAAAATAAGGCAAAAATAGTAATTATTTCGCTCTTTTTCTCGAACGTAGTGCAAGTCATTCATTATATTCAAATTCTATTAAAACATAGTAAATAGATTTTTTTCAATTGTAAGTCAACAGCTTGATACAGAATGATATTATATTTTCCTACTTTACTGAATCCTTACATGAATTTATGCGGAAATGCCAGAATAAATGCAAAAAATAATATCATAAATGCTGAATAAATCTTAGTCAACACTGTTAAGATAGTATTTTTATTTTCAATACAAAAATATTAAGGTATATCATTTTAGTTCAGTTTTTTTTTTCTATTAAAGGAGCTAATGTAAGAGACCTATTTCATTTACATATATCTCATTAATATGTTAAAAGTGCAGCTTAAGTAAGTTTTATGTGCCTTGATTCAGAACCTATTTTAAAGCAGTAAGTAAACAAATAAAAACACTGGTTCTATTACAGTCAAAAGTCGTTAATTCAGACACCCATAATCCAGACCTCAAAGCTACAAACTTTCTGCGAATGCGTTGGGTTGACGCATGCGTGTAAGACCTTTACGGCTGCGAATATGCGTGTGCACAAAATATGTTTACGAATGCATGTTTAATGTATAACGGACGGTATAAGCTAAGCTAAAATTATCTAATTCAGTTAATGTTGCAGATTGCGTTGTTCCTTAATCTTCGAATTGGATTCGGCTTATTGTTTTTTGTAGACTGTTAGAGCAATTTTATAAAAGTAAGCTTGAACTTTCGATTATGTCAAATAGAATTTTTGATATATATTTACTAATATGTAAAGGATCTACAAAGCGAAAGTATGTTTCGAAGTCCATTAAGCAAAAAGTGGAATTGCTGCGAAAAATGGATAAAGGCATATCCTTTGTTTATCTAAACATTAACGTTTGTTTATCTAAACTTTGTTTATCTTTAACGCCGCAGTGCGCAATGAATTGGAAGTTGATCTGTCAGCACTATCCTTATCTTCAGGGCAGATGTTTTTATTTTATTTGGAATATAATTCCTTACTAAATGTAGTATTTCATCTCGATGTACTCCGTCTTTGATAGGATTTAAATCAAATTCCTTGTCATTATAATTTGCTTCCGATAGCAAAGAAAGTGACAGAGGTTATTGAAAACGAAAAAATTTTGATTGACAAATTAGTCGGCATTCTCGAGACAGCAATTATAGGACTTGAACAGCGGAACTTTGTAACTGAACAAGAAATTATGTCTATTTATAGAATTAAAGATAATGTATTATCACATAAAAAACAAAGCAACTTAAACAACTTGCATTGAAAGAAATGTTTAATAAAGTAAGCAAATAAATATTAAGCTTTTACTTTGTATAATATTTCCATGTAAAATCTGAAATTTATAATAGGTGAAGGACTTGGTTACATTATTTCAACAATCAAGCACTATTTCTGAAAAGGAGGACTTAAACGAGACATATAAGATATTAAAACATACATTACCATATTATTATATTACTCAAAATTATTATTTTCAAATATTCGTTCTTTTCCTTGCTCAATGATTATTCCTGTCTATTTTATTCAAAATTTAAAATTAAGCAAAAAAGCAACTTTTTTTTAGTTTAATTCTGATTTTGAGTAAAACTCTGTGAACTTCGAAGGCAATCAAATACAGGCTTCTCTTTTTAGGAGCAAATTTGAAGAAAAGAGACCTGTGTCTTATTGTCCTCAATCAGTAATTTTATTCAAAAACTACATCAAACTGAAGTTGCTTTTATGTGTCATTTTAATTATATATATAATAAAATATGTATTCAGTTATATATATAACAAAATTTAAACCAACATTATGAATTATTATCTATTAAAAATTTTAATTTTTAATCTTTCATATAATGTCTTAATTTCAGTAACAAATTAATCCATTTGTAATATAAAATATATGTTTTTAAGAAAACCGTATAAAAAAAAAAAAAAAAAAAGTTTAAAAATTGGATATCATTGAATGATGCTTTAGTAAGCCAATGCCTTTTAGATGCTGTGGGGTCAACAGTTGCTTTGGATTAGGCACATTAAACAGGGCTTTAGTTTTTTATCATGTATTGTGCTTTATACCTATGCAGTGTTTTCACACAATCCATATGGAATTGATTATTTCTTTAGCAACTGAATCATTCTTCCAGTCTCTGAGGCATTTAATTGCATGTTGTTGGATGCCCCTCCACCATATATTCTGATAAAGAGAGAAATTTTGTGGGCACAGAGAGAGAGAGAGAGTCGTGCAAACTATCGATTGGGATTGTCTCTGCTCAAGATCTGCTGAAATGAAAATACAGTGGAAGTATAATCTTCTATATGCAACTTGGTGGGGCAGATTGGTGGGACCGTTTAACTCAAATTGTAAAACAAATATTAAGAAAAATTGTGGGTTGTGCTTCTTGATTACGTGGAATTTCTCACAGTTTTGTATTATAATTCCTCAATATTAATTTTGCTTTCAAGCAATGAGACTGAAGCATTAAATATTTCTTTTTGTTCTATAATTCTGATTTGCTTTCATATAAGTTTTAGCTTTTGAGTGGGTGGCAGAAATGTGGAAACCAGAGTGAATTTATCTTTGTCACATATGTGTACAATGGATATGCTACGTCTATGTATTCTTTTCTATTTTGAAAATAGTTGCATTAAAAAATTTGTAGAACAAGAAATGGTGTAAAAAATGAATGTTGTTTTTTTAAAAGTCTCGTCTCAGCTTTATGGACCCGATAATATTTTCTTAAGCTACATCTACAATACAGTATGTAGAGCGATGAAGTTGATTACTTGGAGACACTTTAAATAGAGTGATCTGGATAGTAATTGAATTTAACTCAAGAAAAATCCAGGGAAACTAACCTTTCAGAAAAGTTTTAA